CTCTTTTAATTTTTGTATAAGTTTATCATATGTCTTTTCCAAGTCTTGGATATAATTCTGATTAGATTGTCTTACACATGCACTCAACTCTAGCAACTCCTCGTCGGCCACCCATTTTTTTTTAAAACTTGTTAACTGATCTTCAAATACTTTTCTGCAATTTTTTGGTATTTCTAATTCCATAATACGTTCGCCATCATCAACCTCATAATCCTGATTGTCTTTCTCAGTTGATTTATGAGCTAGTCCCTTTCTGAGATAGCCACTAACACAATGTCGTAGAGCTCGAGAAGTTAGCTGGCGGGGGCGAAAAAGAAACATTCTTTACAGAAACTTGTGTTTTTTAAAAATCTCCTGATGAGATTTGTGAATATAGTGGGCTTGCGATATTTATGAATCAGTAATATTGCAGATTTTTATTTTATCGAATATCCAGGTCTCGTGAGCACATTACTATCGTGAGGGACTCCGTGAGCACATTACCTCATTAGAATACTCGTGATGATCTCATCACGTGAGTAGGTCACAAGTACTATGCCGGATATCACTTATTATTATCATATCTTGTCTTGTAACCAGAACACATAAACGAAATGCCCAGTGAATACTGGTAGTAGATGCAACGGTTCATACATACATGCTCTGTAATTCCAGGTGTGCTATATCATTACTCACTAATGAGTCATTATTTTACTGATCGAATTGTACTCGACAAGATTTATATATTTTATAGGGTTTACACGTATGATTCAATGAAAGAAATTAGAACTCTTGGTTGGATATGTAATCAGATGTCTGAACGAAGGGGGAAGGGTGATGTAAGATGTCGTCGTCTGCTAACCTTAGCATATATTTATTTACTAGATGCAAGCTGTGATCTTGGAAATTATATGAAGTTTGCTGTCGCTATGTTTTATCCGAGTGGCAGTAGAGGCAGATTCATCCTATTGCTTGCGCTGGCATTGTGACTGATATACATACATGTTACTTCAATTTTTAGGATTGTTCTTTTGACTTTCTAATTGAAACGAAAAGCACTCGTAATGTAGTCCTTCTGCATACCGAGCTTTCTGCCTTGTAATAGTCATTCGTCTTACTGTGAATGCATCCAGTAAAAGTCCGATCTCCGTTAATCAATTTATTATTAAGTCCTGCTAAAAAGTAACAAAATGAAACTAATCGTTCTTATTTTATTATTAGGGGTTAGTACCAGCTATTAGTTGATTGGAAAAACCTTTCAGCTTCCTCAAGCATATTCTTGAATGCCTCTGGATCTAGAACAAGTCTTTCATTGTATATGCGTTGTCTAATGTACAAAACTCCTGCCATTAGTTTTATCTGCTTACCGAGAGGATATCAACGGTTTGAGAAAGTGATCATAACGCAGTCATGGATAGGTATTTATTTACTTACGGAGTCTCGCTTCATCAAGTCTGCGCACACTTCATGATATGCCGCCTCTAATTCTTGAAAATTCGACTCAGAATAAATAACGTCACTCTGTAATGCTTTATATTCTTTTTCGAAATTCTTTCGGATGTAATATTGATAATTCTCATTTATTGTGAACGAACAAATTACATGCAAAAATCAAAAATACAAAACTTTGTCAAATAAGCAATGAAAAAATTGCTACGTTTAACCAGACTAAAGCAACTCGATAAATGGATATATTAAAAAAACAAAACATTGTTCTCTTTTAAGAGGCTTCGATAATACAAAAACCATGCTAATTCCGTAATAGTTTAAAAAATCCTCCACTTTTTTATTTTTCCCATTTTGCTTATAAAAACGTGAGAAATCTTATAATATGTTAACCAATGCTGCTAGTTCAGTAGGTTGCCAGTCGAACTCTCAAAGCTCCACCGGAGACGGGAGACGGCCGTGGAGGTGTTTGGAAGCATGATGGTAAAGACCATCTATGCAATTTTCTACCGCTTCTGGGTTTTCCTTGTATTCCTTGCAAACGTGCGTTAAATGTATTTTAAAGTCTCACCATTGACGAGTTGTTTCAACATATAATCCACCGGCTTTCGAAAATCGAACTGCCTTTCTCGATCTTTTTTTTGTTTATCTATTGTACAAAAGCTATTATAAATAAATGTAAACTTGTTATTAAAGCAAGATATAATAATATAATCCTTACTTCACTTCTCACAGATTCAAGCGCTCCTCGTATAGCGACAGTTTGGCTGGTTTTCTGCTCAATTAATCGCTGTCGGTTTCTTATTTTTTCCCACCAACGCGCACGGGTTATGGGCACGGGTTATGGGCACGGGTTATGGCACGGGTTATGGGCACGGGTTATGGGTACGGGTTACGGGTACGGGTTATGGGCACGGATTATGGGCACGATAAGGACACGGTAGTTAAAAATAGTCATTTAAAAAAAAAGTTATAATATAAATACGTAAAATTGTTTGCTAGAAAAAATTGCGCAAGAGATGACGGCAAAATTGCAATAATGTTATCAAGAGTGTTTCAATGGCGTTTGTTTTCTCAAACCGATATGACAATTTACTTATCAAAATGTGACAAGCTTCATTGTTAGAACTAATTGGAATGTTAGAACTTTAAATAATAAAGTTTGAAATCTACGATGGATGATTGTCCCTAAAATAGATGTACATACAGGTAAGTTACAACACCATTATCATAATTATTGAGGCTTTAACTTCTAATACTGAAGACGCCCGATTAGGATTATCCTAAAGATAGATATAAAAAAGCGGTAACGACAATAGTTGTAATAACCAGTGAGGTTTTAGTTTTTATAGCCCCATTCTTCAATTCACGAAAAACTGCACTGTTTGACACAAGCGAAGCTTCCGCAGTTACTAAATTGTGCTGACCCAGAAAAAAAAAGCGTTATCAAATTTAGCTTCTTTTAATGGAATTTTTCACAGAGAATGCCATCTTAATCTAAATTGTAGGTTTATTATTAATACAATCTTGTAACCTAACAATTCACCCATTTGGTTTCATAGCTCTTCATTGAGCAATTAGATAAATGCACGAAACAGAATTGCTATTGTATAGTGTGGCAAATGCCGGTTACAATAGAGCTGCTATTTTAATAGTATATACACAATAATACTACAAGACTATCCTAAAAACGCCAATTATTGTAGGATAAATTAAGTATCACTACATGGGTTATCCTAAAAATAGACGTACAAAACAAACATTACAGCATTAATATTAACACTACTGTTATTAATATGAACTCTATCATATGACGTATACGTATGCATGCTCCCTGCGTTTTAGCGCTTGCAACAGAACACATTTCAATAATTCATGCTTTTATACATTTATAATACTTTTTCGGTGACTTGTGTTTGCTTGTTGATTCCGCCATGGGGTGCTTATTTCTCGGTAGTATACGGTAATTACATTCCGACGAGTATAGTGTTTACGATCGTGTCGAATCGTGTAGTTCGATTACTAAAATCAATTCATGGACATAATTTTCGTGTTCGTAAAAATAAAGTGTCACGTGTGCAATGTAACACAATATCGTTGAAGAATGATCTCTCCGAAATTGTTACTGGAACTTTTCATGTCGTGGTCGTCGTTAGTTAAGGACGTTCAACATCAAGCAATTGACGACTTGATTAAATCACCCTATGCAGATGAATGCAATAAACTTGAATGGATCCCTTGCTCACTTATTAGCGACATAGAGCCAACTCAAATTGACAACGTCTACTACGCTATTCACAAGAAAACATATGATGATGGTAGAGCTTATGAAAGGAAGATAATGTTGCAATTAGTTGGAAGCGATGAAACATGTACACCAACGTTTATCAGTGAGTTTGCCAGAATTTACTCACTTTCAACACACAAGTACAACAATGACGTTAATCGGTCCAGAAAATATTCCTACTGGCTTGGACGGCGCAACAAACCCATACATGGATTTACCAAGTCTAATGACAACTATTACATGGTTGCTTATAGACGCTTTTACGATTGTTATTCTCTCTACGGATTTTGCTCTGCATGTGGAATACTCCGATGTAGTCCTGCGTGGTGCATTTGTGGACATAAACAATTATCCAATGGATGTACTAGCAACAATAAGCAACTCGACCAGTTTATTAAAAAATCTCAATTACAAACAAACTCGGTAAATGAGCCCTATTTGGAATGGATTCCATTTGACCGTATTCTTGATAGGGGACATGACTTTGGCTTATACTTGGATGATGTACGAATTAAACTGGATTCACTTGAGATAACAGACGAGACAGATGATTCATATTATGACAAGGTAAATTACTCAATTATTAACTATGCGTCATGTTTGTTGGAATTATTTATATAGTAAAACGTATTATTTTCACTAGTTATGTGATGAGCATCCCGATATTTTCATTAACAATATTTGGGTTACCTTTGGATTTACATTCGATGCAAGTAAACAGAAGTATTGTCTAATAAAGGAATATTATGGGTATGGATTATGTCTGGCATGTGCAGCAGAGTTTAAAACCGCTATAAATGCATTCTGTTATCAGTGTAAAGCACCAAGACCTCTTGATTGGACGACTGGTAACAAGTCATTGGATCTATTCATTATGGAATCGTGGAAAAATACAAAGACCATGTATGATGCCTATATACAATGGATTGAATACTCTCTATTAACAAACGTACAAGAGATGACACCATTACGCCATGGGCACACACATATAGCAGATTGGTTAGAGCCGACAGCAGATGAACCGACGAGAGTGATGCTCAAACGTATAGTTGGTGATTTCTATCAGGTAAATTATCTCATGTATAATAATGCAGTTTTTGCACATGTTAATTGATATTGTCGTAACGATCAATAGTTGACTGAAGAACATCCAGAGATATTGACACCAGATAATATTTGGATTGTTGGTATCACTCGAGAGCCATCTACTCAAGAATATTATTTGGTGCTCTACTACGACCTATATGCACCATTGGACAGATTTATACAACTTAATAGATGGGTAAATTATATGCAGTATGCCGACTTTGATGAAATTAAGAAGATTGGATCGGGTGGTTATGGGACCGTCTATACTGCCAAATATAAACTACGTGGAGAACTCGTTGACAATCCAGAAATTGTTGTACTAAAACGCTTTAAGAGTTATGATCAGACGCCGGAATTATTTGTTAACGAGGTAAGCAATCTTTGATAGTATAAATTAAAGGCATATTTAATCTGACACTGTATTTATCTTTATTTAATAGTTCAGAAATCATACCAAGTGCTATAACCGATTGTCATTCCTTAAAATTTATGGAGTGACACAAAACCCAGAAACAAAAGAGTATATAATGGTTATGCAGTATGCTAATAATGGTAGCCTTTCGTCTTATTTGGATCAAAACATAAACAAGCTGACTTGGAAGATGAAGTTACAGTGTTTAGAGGATATTGCAGGTTATTTATTGACTATCCATTCCACGGGATCTGTGCATTGTGATCTTCATGGCGGAAACATAGTTTTGCATGGCAATGAATCTGAAACAGAAATAGACTTTCAATTAAGCAAACCATTCATATGCGATCTCGGTCTCTCTCGATCGGTGAACTCACGTGAGTCAAATTCGACCATTCAAGGCGTTTTGCCCTTTATTGCACCCGAAGTCTTCCGTAGTCGCAAATTTACTCAGAAATCAGACATATATGCACTTGGTATTATTATATATTTAATTGCCACTGGTGAACCACCTTTTAGAGATAGGCAGTTCGATAGAGATTTAGTATGCAACATTATGGGTGGACTACGACCATCGATGCCTGATTCCGCACCAGAGGAATACAAGAAACTTGCCGAGCGGTGTTGTGATGCTGATCCTGATAAGCGTCCAGATGCAGGGAGATTTTATATTGATATTGACAATCTTTTTAAAGAGGTGAACAAGGACACTTCTGGCAAGTGGGATGCCGTTTATCATAATGATGTAAAACCCTTATCACGTCCTGAGAAGGAGAATAAATATTCTAGTAAGCGCTTACCTACTAGAGATTTGCCTAAACCAAGAAATAGCTATGATATGGATTCAGCTCCAGGTATGAAGACAACAATTGGTTATAGATGAAGTCAATTTACAATATTAACATTGTCCACTGTTTGTGATTTAGTGACTCAAACACTCTTTGAATAAACTTGTAATTCACGAGTTATTTACAGGTTGTACGAGGTTTATTCAAATACTAAATAATTCCATACATGTCAATATGGTTGGGTTCTGAAATAAAATCGTGCACTTTACTGTTAGCTGCCTCTTTGAAGTAAATATTATGTATATAAAGTTTTATGCAACATTTTGACATAGTAATAGTAGAGTTTATCGCTGGAAATAAACGAGATATTTTCTTTGGTATCTAACCATGCGTTTTAATCTACTATTCTTGTAGTAAATTCTTGCACCAACTCGTATTATTATGTACTTCACTCTTTCCTGATTATCTAACCTCTTTTATCTTTCCTTCTACTTACCCTCATACTAGTCGTTGATGTCTGGCTCCTGGCGTCGGGGTCTCTGAAGACAATTTTAGGTCCCAGTCATTGCGGCATCTTTTTTGTAAGGAAAGTTCGAGATAGCAGGTCGGTATTTGAGAGGCGTACATATTAATGGTTTACTGAAGAGAAACTCGGATACAATGCATTTATCGTCTCTTTTCTCTATTCTGTTTCTCAGTCCGCAGTAATAGGCTTGGTGTTGGCGAATACGCCAGTAGACTTAGCACGCCGATGAAGAAAAGTAGTCCAAGTATAAGCGAGATTATGTGTCGGGAAACTTTTCAAAATCGAGGGTGTGACTTCTAAGTAGTATAATAGATATCAGAATTTTATAACGAGACAAGAAGACACCTGTTTGTTAAAAAGACCTTGAATATCTGAACATACAATAACAGCTTTCCCTGAACTTCTTTATCGCACTATTAAATCTACTTGGGGCGATAATGTGGAAGAGCGGAATATTCGCTCCTGTGCAAACTCTTTCGTCGGTCATGCGGTCGATATACCGTGTTGTTGTTGAGTGTTATGAGTTTGTTGTTTGAGGACCTGTCGCAAGTTGTAGCAAACTGTCGTATGCGTAATATGGAGTGGCGGTAAAGGATGTTCGTTTTATGTGATAACGTTGGATTTGCGCTTTGGAGGAGGAGAGGTTGTTGTGAAGCGATACGTGTGCGATGGAGAGGAGCGTCTGGGTATATATATGTATGAGTAGACGCGTGTTCGCGTGTTAGATGACAGATATGACAGATATTGGAACATTATAAGTATAAATATTATTGTTATTTACGTGTGAGAGTCAGCCACAACAATTACTGTAAACCAATAGTAAAGCATAGGTGGGTATCGATATATTAACACATTATTACATCATATCGCAACTGTCACGATTGTTTCCGTAAATAAGAACAATAGATAAGCCACGCGTATAATTTAATTAAATTGATCTCTGTGATAGTGATAACCCCATGCAATATGATATCCGCGTGATCTATGTAATATAGCAATAGCTTCACAATTGTTGGTCTAAAAGGTTTTGCCTAAAAAAGTCCTACATGTGCTCACAGCCAACGGACACTACGTGCCATTAAACGAATTCATTTTTATGAAACATAATCTTATACAGATGCATACCGTTATGACACTAATGTTATCGAAACGGGCGCGGTACCATAGTAACATCTAAATGGGTATTTTCTTCCACTTAACGAGTTATGCTGAGCATCGAAAGAGTTATATGCATGCAGGCAGTGTAAGCGCATCCGATGTTGATAAGATGAAGAAAGTTTATTATTTTTATTAACAAAATTTGTACAAAGTCGGATGTAATCAAACGCTTACTTATTACTATTATGATATGACAGCCTTTGTTGCTTTAAACCATCTATAATAATTGATACATGTACACAGTGAAATTCACTTTAACGAAGTTCTTCCAGAACGGATTCATATATTTCATATAAAAAGACAGTTCATTTCAGCGAACTTTCAGGTTAACCGTGGAACGAATGTCTTCGTTAAAGTGAATTTCACGGTGTAATAACATCATGACGATACAACGGGAATTTTAAACGTTTTATCAACTTTTTGCACGAAACAAGATATTTTGAGGAGTTTGTTCGTTGTAATGACTCTAGGTTTCGATAAACTTGTTCACATGATGGCCGGTTATGAGGATTTTCATCCCAACATTTAGAATACAGTGTAATATATTCTTTAGGTATTTTGCAAATCGTCTCATCCTCACGTAATCCACGCAGTCGGTGCAAGACAATTTCAGTACTTTGAACATATCCTTTGCATGGAACTTGGCGGCTAGCAATTTCCCAAAGTACTACTCCAAGGCTAAAAATATCAGATTTTTTCCCTCGTTTATACGACCTGGCCTTAAAGCACATTGGATCTATGTATGCTGCGTGCCCTTTACACCTTGACATAGACGATTCTTGGTTAAGAACACCAGACAAGCCAAAGTCTGCTATTTTTGCAATGCCTTTGTTAATAAGAATATTAACGGACGTCTGCATAAAAGCGATAAACTCAGTACATATATAACACAAATAGATTTTAATGGCAATGCAATAATAGTTGTAAATACCAGATCTTTGTGCACAATATTAAGGTTATGCAAATGTCGTAATCCATTGGTAATATCCAGGCCAAGTCTGCACTTTTTTTGCCAGGTCAAACTGTGAAAAGACTTGGCTAAGTAATCACGCAAAGTTCCATCCTCAGCATACTCTATAATCATGTAACGTCTATCGTACATATCTGTTTGTATTAAACAAAGAAGCAATTTATAGTTTCGCAATTAGCCACTTGAATGACATAGTAATAGCTTACATTAAACGATTAGCTATGATAAATTCAACAGTTTGGTTTGTAATTGAAATGTACAAACAAAAATTTAATATCAGAATCAAAACGTTCAGGTATACCGTGTTTATATTAATATTAAAAATTATATACCCACCTTTATAGGAACCTAAGAACTGAATAATGTTGGGATTATAATTATTACTCGCTTGCTTGTGAATGTTTAGCTAATACATGATAACGAATGTAAGATCAGTTTACGGAAAACATGTAGACAACAAGTAACGTAGTGATAGTTAACAACCTCTTTGTCAAACTGTTGGTCGTGCTCTTCTTTACTTTTTGAGAGCAACGTTTTCATTGCGACTATTGTTCGGACTGTTTTATTTCTCCTTTGTATACTGTTCCATATCCACCATACGCCAACATTTCACGGATTGTTATATCGCTTTTCTGATAGTCATTAAACGTACGATTCGTTCGAACGTTGTTAGATATAAACACAATAGGTAGAGACATGTTGGCAAGCGAGTAATTTAGATGAGTGTGTAATAGTAATAGTGAAGGGCATTTTCCCCAGTAAAGAATGATCCAATGAAAAAGTTTTCCAAACAAACGTTTGTTTACATTGGCGTTTATAGCCAAAGAATTGAACTTCCTAATTAGAATTATCACCTATAAAGAAACTTGGATACAATGTGTTTTTAATTATAACAATCGCGGGACAAGAGGCGATCAATATAGGGATTAGTGGTTTCACAACTATACCGATAATTTACCAGCGATGAATACATGAAAGAATTAGAACACTTTTGAACACACGAACACACACACACCGAAACTAACTGAAATATACGCTGTTTATATCTTTCGGAAGGATTAATTTTAGCAACGCTTATTATTAATTATTTACTAGCATGTGCTGCGCTTGCTGCACTTCTATTTGCGCTACCTTTCGATCGAATATTTACGGAGGAATATCTACGTCATAATTAATTCTATTATTATAGTCTCCACAAAGGCAAAAACGGCAGAATAATAGTGATAGATAGATAGACGATTCACCGAAATACCTGCTTACTTGACAAGTGTTGTTGCTTCACAATGACCGAGACTAGAGTTTCGCAAAATATATCAACGCACTTCCTACGGGTTGTGCTGTAGTTGAGGGCAATGTCTACCAAGCCCTTTGTAAACGATGTGAATATATTACCTCTGAATAAATATCATTTTGAAACGTTGTAATAACAGTAAAGGCAGAACTCGAATAATTGTTGAGTAGTCAAGACTTTGTCTTGTCAGTTCCCCTAGTGCTTCTTGTTTCTCTTCCAAAGACAAGCCTATGCATAACAGGTCGGCTGTTTCTTCCCAACCGAGAGACTATCAAATTAATCTCACGATAGGAACCGTGATTGTACTCGGATAGCAATACTGATGATAAAGACTTTTCGTTAATATCGACTTACTTTTCGTAAGAGCTCTAAATACTTTAACAAGTGCATAAGTTAGAAAAGCTACATTTATCATTGTTTTTATTTATAATTTTTATTTTTATTTTTTAAATAAATATTATCGTTTTATTTAATGAGGTTATGCTCGATGTTAGCGAAGAGTTACAACTTTAATTGCTAAACTAAGAAAGAATATACAAAATATTAACATTAATCTTGCAAGAGAGCATTACAGAAATATATTAATACGCTCTCAATATTAAATGAGGGAGACAACTGTTGTCGCGATCGTCGATTTTCAGGACATTATGCAGGCGGATTAACGAGCTTTTCTTCATAATCCGAATCTGCTGTCTTGATAATCCAAGTTATTCAGTTTGCCGCTCGAATATATATCGTCTCATTCGCTGCTGCAAACCGCTGGTTCCAAAATGTATATGTATCCCTCCCATGCATTCTTCTCATTCCATATGACACCCAAATGAGTTTAACTTCGCCACTTCTTTTCAATTTCACTTACACATACGTAAGTAGCAACCCATGAGAAGACGCGCTGTGATTGAAGTCTGTGTAATATTTTCACACCTCTCTGAAAGTTCGATAGTTGTCTCGTCCACGCCTCCCTCCTTCGTAGATAGAAGCATAATAGCAAGCTTGAAACCGGCTCTCATTAATTACGCTTCTCGATAATTCTTACATTTATCATATGAATGTTTGCCATCGACATTAAAAAATGAGAAAGATAATCATTCCCTTAATATACTCTCCCGCAACAGGATGTTCGACTAATTCAACAACTTCCTCATCGTTACTGATCAATTTTATTCGAGCAGCTCTTTATATCGTTCACAGCATGGACATTCAATGTCCAACTTAGATTTTGGAGTTCTCTCCATAACGTAGCCAGGCACTCAACAACAACAATCTTGCAACCAGCTCACCCTGGCATCCTGCTTCCAGAATACTACCAGATTGAAAGGCTCCATCCAGTTCTCTCAAAATTTCAAGTTGACTTGTTTCCTCAAAAAGCACTTCAAGGGCAGCTTCTGATGGATATGTAACAAGAAGCCTTTTATCAATGACAACAAGTGTACTCATATGTGCCTTGACAAGGTCAGGTTAGGGAAACATAAAGGGAGACAATGCAGCCAACTAGAGCAAGAGCTGCTGTTTGTTTTATCCTATCATTATTTTGACTACTCCATTAAGGAGTTTGTTTGCTGCACACCACTATCAACCTTGTGTCGTGTCGAACGATCGCTTCTGCTTTTGGAAGTGAAAACAATTGTTTAGCGTTACGTATTGTATGTAATTCGTTATTGAGCACACTCTAGGTGTGATGACTGGAATGGCAATTTGTTTATTTTAGCAGTTCGAATTGTAAGCTTACAATCAATAACGAAGTGGCTTAATACAAGTAACAGTTCCATTACTCACAAGTTGTTGCAAATGAAGCACTTAGAAATTGCATAGTTAGGCATGTGTGCATGGTAAATTCCGTATACATTCCTCCTAATTTCTGCGCAACTCTGATGAAAATATTTGATTAGATGATAACACCTGCTGTCGCGAGAAGCATAGTAATAGTGATACGGGAAGCAAGAGCAGCAAAAACAATAGTAAACGAAAATAGAATAATTAATAAGCGTTGCTAAAATTAGATTTATTAGTCCTTTCGAAAGATATAGTGTAAGCAAGCGTAGATTTTGTGCGCGTGAGTCGTAGTGTTAAACTGTAATCCGAGATTTAACTATTAGTAGACTCGCGTGCGAAAGGACGATTTTGTCTACTCTCCCGCAGTTGTTGACACAACACAATCACGCCTTTTTCTCTGCAAAAGATCATGAATTAGATATGCTTGTCCAGATTTTGCTAACAACCTTATTACTTAAAAAAGTTGACCCTTCAAATGAACACTAGTATTTTCTGAATTAATTAATTGGAAACACATGCGAATCCGAAATTGTGAGCTTCAATTATTTGTGTTGGTGATTTTGGGGCAGTTTGGGAATTTTCTATGTTGGGAAAGAAATAGTGTGATAGACTCGTTTAAAATGTAGCATGACCCATGCAGTCGCCAATTACGGCACAAATTAAGCTGTTACATGACTGATTGATTAGATTATAATCACAATGAAACTATCTTCGGAAGTTATCTTTACGGATATTTACAGAGATTGTTTACACCAACCCAGAAAAGCATTAGTTCGTGACAAGCTGTAAACAAAGTCTACGAGATAAACCCTCGACATGGCAATAACCTATTCTCCAGCACTAATACTCTCTTTGTTCATCCACTTTCTCTTGCTCCATGACCCGATATTAAGCAACAGTCGTTAAGCAATTAATTGAGCCTTTACATATTCGTAATCCGTCGTCTAAGCCAGACCTTTGTAGATGTCCGCACACAGGATCATTATTAATGTAGCAATAAACGCTGGTCTGTAGGGTCTCGGCTCACTCCTACAATTTGAAGAAAAGAACACAAGGAAGGGAACTCGTTGTCCTGGATAAGAAAACGAAGAATATACTAGAATGTTCATGTCAGATCTTCACAAGCAAACAAGCAAATCGCATATGGGGCGTGCTGCAACAAAACCAGACAAAGTGAGCATGTGGAATAAAACAGTCAAAATCAAAAATTCAAAGTCACTCTTACCATATTCATTCATCTTGAATAAAGTCGCGGGGAACCATTCTGGTGTCACGACTGGATAGTTCATTCGCAAGGTTGTACCTTGTGTGATTAGCATTTCGGCGGAAGGGAGGAAGAGGCTGGCGGTCTGACGAGAGAACAATTGATGCTCCAGACAGAGCGATATTTGCAGCCGCATTCGCATCTCTTCCTCTGGTGGTGTATTTCAGTCTCCTTGCCGGGCACCGAGGGTGAACGCATTCGATTGCACCATTCAAGCGGACAACCAGCTTCTTCCCACCAATGATCCGGCGAGCCCTGTGGAGCACAACTCGAGAGAAACAGTAGGGGCATGTCTTCGAGGTGTTATATTCATTCGTAATGCCAATATGCCCGTAGTCACGGTGCTGTTCCCGAATCTTTTTCATCCCTCTTCGACTATGCCCCTTGATGGTGCTGTTCACTCCTTGCCAGTGTCCTATACAATGGATCACTTCTGGTGCTGGTGCCTGCAGATAACAAATGTCAATATACAGGTAGGCAGGAGGCATGGAACGAAAAGGGACTGATCTGAATACAGGACAGAACTTGCCTTGACCGCTGCACGAATGCGACTCCGTTCTTGAGCTGCAAGCTTGCCGTAAGCTCGCTTAGTCCTGATCTCTCTCTGCTGACTTTCCTTGGCCAGTTTTTTTTGCTGGGTGTCTCTGTCTACATTATTCTTCTGCCGTTGCTGGTGCTTCCTCTGATGTTTCTTGAGGAAAGTAACATTATTAATCAGGCTGGCAGTGATTTTGTTGGCCTTAGGAAGCTGCTCAACATCAAATAAATACGGCATGGTTTCCATAACAGAGTCATCCTCGGTTGAAATGGCTTGAAAGCGGTTTATGTCGCTAAATATTTCCTCTAGAGTTCTTGGTATCATCGTAGAGGTGACAACCATCCCAGGATCAGTTCCAGCAAATACGACTTGCCTTCCTGACATAACCGTGGGAAGCAGATTCATCTATATTGGAAAAGAATGAACGATAAGAACAAAAGCAAAAACAGGTAATCATAACCATAGCGAATACTTACAAATTCTATGTTGTCCTCTTTGAATGTTCTAGGGGTACTGGTGGTAGGAGTGGTGGTAGGAGTGGGAGTGGTGGTAGGAGTGGGAGTGGTGGTAGGAGTGGGAGTGGTGGTAGGAGTGGGAGTGGTGGTAGGAGTGGGAGTGGTGGTGGTGATGCTAGAGGAAACCTTCATTCGCAAAGTTTTGTTTATAGAGTACAATGAGCTTTTGGCCTTTGCTAGTGCTTTCTCCAATTTTATGGCTTCAAGCCGTTTGACTGTAATCTCCCGCCTGATTTCTTTCAGCTCACGGTAGTCGTTAGAACCTGGATCCCATTGTGACCTCCTGACTTTCCAACCAACGTCCATTCGATTCAACTCCAGTTGGGAAAGCTCTTTGCGCAAAGACCTCAGTGTATTGGTCAAGCCTTTGACTTCTGATGCGTGTATTTCAGCCATTGCTTCCATTTTCGAGTGGTCTAAAATCGGCATCTCCATGATCGGTGCGGATTTGGTGACGTTCAGCTTGTTTTTTTTTCTTGCTTCATAGTTTGATTTGAAAAATGCTTTGCCAGGTTTTGGCTTTCCCAGTAAACGCACTGTCCATCGGTTGACAAAACTCATCCGCCACGCAAACTGAAGTCCATAAGAGCTCATAAACGATTCCAGCTTGTTGGTATTAAAAAATGCACCAAACGTTGCTTGCTTGTCTCTCCCCGCCTGGACTGAGTTGGTGATCCAGTTCTCGCTATCCATAGGAATATCCCACTGTTTATGGAAGACATCGTATACACCAGCGGCTGTGAGGGGCAGCGCACGAAAACCTTGACTCGATGTAGGTGACAATTTTCGGGTCAGCGAAGGAAATCCCGTAATAGTAGCAATAGCATTGGCCAATGCTGCTACTGGTGCCACTGTTAGGATATGTGGTGTTGGAAGCTGATTGTCTTCTCCACGCTGCCGAACAAACGGTCGGAGGAAGTTGACTATTTTCGCCGCTGCCTCCTTTTCTTCCTCTGTGAACGTAGTGCCTTTGAATGCAGCGCCTTGGATGTCATCTCTCGTGACTGTTCGCTGAATCTTCCCTGACTCGGAGAGCATCCTGGTGATCGATAAGAGAGCTCGGATAGTCTTTGCGGGTGTATCTCGAGCTGTTTCTGATTCCATAACAATTTCTCCCTCATCCTCCTCATCCTCCTCATCCTCAACAATCGTATCAGGACTCATATCCTCCTCATCCTCAACAGTCGTATCAGGACTCATATCCTGCCCATTCTCATCATGTGTGTCACTGGGCAACCGCAACAACTGCTGTAATCTTTCTACCATCTTTCGTAGAACGAATACTGGTCTTTTGCTAATAATAGCTAGACCAAGTTCATTCATGAGACTTGATCTCTGGTACTTTTGGCTTCGGTGCCAGTTTCTTTGTTCATTTTTCTGCTTCGCCTTGGCTTTCTGTTGCTTGGCTTGTTGATGGCGTTTCATCCTATTTGGGGCGAGGTGGATGCGAAGGAGCGTTCTGATAATAGTCCGCAAGCTGCAGGTGTAAATGTTGCCCATCCATATATTTACAGTGGATGTATAGAACTCCTTCAAAGTCGCTTGGCGGATCGCATGGTTCCCTGTCGGATTGGGAATGGCCGAGAGATCTACTAAATTTTTTGAATTAATTTCTTTTCTAATCTGAGCAAAGAGTCTAATAGGATAGAAAATGATGTATATGTATTAAAAAGCTTGTGACAATTGTAGAATATCTGCATATTAAAACTAGAGGATGAAAATTATTACTTACTCAGATTCTTTTCGTGTTTTTCCTCCAATGCAGCCATAATACAAGTTCTGAAAATGACTAAATGAAAAAAAGCCTGCTTCAATCAAGGTAGAAGCATTTTCCGAGATTGGAGCTATGCTGGCTGATGAAGCATGCACTCCAAATTCATAATCTTCAGGAAAAGCATTTGACAAGTTACAAAGTTCGCTGTCCGGACTACCAACAATTGAGTAAATCTTGCCCGAAATGACCTAATAGTTAGTGAAAGTCAGTACAATAACAATGCAGCCGTGTTGCACCATGATCACAAAATCTTACCATATTGGTGGCCTCTTGAATAATATGGCAAAATGCTTCAAACACTTGGTGGTTGGATTTTTGTTCGAGAATCAACTGCTGTTCAACATCAACCAAGTTGAGTTCATCTCGTACAATCTGCCGTAAGGTGGTCGTAATAGTACGGTGGTTATTATCCTTGTCTTCACTATCTTGCTCGTGTGAGCCCATCTCAGTGTCAGTGCACGGTAAGGAAATACTGGCAGGGTTTTCGAGAACATCTTTCATGCACTCTTCTACTACATCCCTCCATCATCTTGTCAAAGCCGTTAATGTTGCTGAGACGTTTTGTCAAACCAAGCGTGTCCATGCCACTCGTGTCTATTTCTTCTCCGAGTCTTTCGAGCAGCCTTCCGACAATGCCCCTGGGTAAGGACTTTTGACCAAGCTTTTTTTCCTTGAAACATTCCAGTTTCTCTTGCGTGGGATTTTGTCCCAGCTTCCTATACTCTCCTCGAAGACGCTCTTTCCTGTAAAATGAAGAGAATAGATTACTCGAATGAATAAAAGCAATGTAAAGCAGTGAATCACAACTCAAGCTTACATTATATTGGATAGCAAATCTTTTAGTAAGTCATCACTAATTGATTTATAATTTGCTTGGGGTTTCTTTTTTGGAGCTGCACCTTCTGGTCTTTTTATTGCAGGGGGAGAAACCATTGTTGTGTGACTTGTGCATGTTGTGGGTGCCCGCTTGACCCAGTTCTTGGCCAGCTCAAGTGGGTACCATCCTCCCACAGATAAAATGGAATCTTGATGGCGCAAAAGTGCAGCTGTATAGCAGAACCTATCTGTGGCTGGGACAATTTCGATAGGCTTGCTGCGTGTAGAGAAAATAGTGATCCTGATAGCATAGTAGTGGGCGATGGCTGCAAGCAAAAGCAATCCCTTTGGAGCGACAGTATTCCCATCAGACATGCAGAGGCAAAATCCGTGAGGAATTTCGCTTCTGAGATTCTGCACAATCTGTTGTGCCAGAGTCGGCTCGCTTTCGGTGGTGGTCTCGGATATGACTAGGCCTCGAAAGTGAAGCCACCTTTTCGCTCGCCCAAGATTTTCCTTAGCAAAAGGCCTACCGGCGGCCGCACCAAACGCCTCACCCACCCTTGCTGCCAATTTGTTCTCACTGTTTTCCAGGGACTGTGAGGCTTGCGGGAAAATGAGACTTGAGCCACCATCATTTTTTACAATCCATAGGTGGCTGTCCTCAGGCCATATAGATGCGGGCAGATCCATCTTCCAAGGTTGATAAGTGTAACCGCCAGCACTCTTGACCCGCTTATCCTTGGATATTCCATCTTCATTACCCTTTCTTTTCTTGAGGGTGGAACTATTAGACATAGTATTACTTTCAATGAACGGAGTAAAATGTGCAGAGAAAAAGTTAAATCGATATATCGGAGGAAAAGGAGCAGATGTGTTTGTGGACAAGGTTTGATTCTGCATAAATAAGCACGGGACTGTAAAAATTTTATTGGCTACTAAACAAACTCGCGATCTTCTGATTTCTTACGTGATTTGAGTAACCCAACGAATACAAATGATCGCCATTTTTTTGTTGCCCCTACATTTGATATGCGTAGTGGTTTCTGTGCTTGCTAAAAATAAAAAATGTTTACTATTACTATATACCTATTCCTATTGCTATAAAGAAAAGCTCAAGTTACACTGTATGCTCGAAAAGCATTTGGCATCGAGACTAACTCCGAAAGCTTCCGAACGTAAATGAATACTACGGACAAGTTGGTCGTTACATCGTATTCGGCGTCCCTTACAATTGGACATTGTAAGAACTTCACTCGCGTCATCACTCGATCGTATTATGTAATGCGTTACTCACACCATTATGAACTGTGGGCTAACCGGGCAAAGGATTGGGAAATTCCGGGATAGAAGTGCAATACGGCGCACACTTACATGCATACTCGGTTTTTTGAATTAATTTAGTGGTTGGAACAAGGCAATTGGTATTAATTGTTTCCGTGGAACATTCTGTGTACCCATAACTTTTTGCTTCATTTCCTTTGGAGTAGCAAAACGAATTATCAAGCTGTTTCAGCACAACAATCTCTTCATTATTCGAAACGGCAATTACAGAAATTATGATTAATAATTATTAACTGGCATAGACGCTTGACGTTTTCAAAACCTTTTACTCAGCAACCTGCTTGCTGTCGAGGGTGTTTGTGAATAATTTAAGCATGTGGTTCCGGGGAGTACATAAAATAATTGTTAAAGGGCCAATTTTAACAATAGAACTGCTTCAAGATAGACTAGACTCTGTCAAATTAAATTGGATTCACATCAACTTGCTTTTTGAATTACACATGATCTAAAGAGACAGTAATACTGCATCTTTGGCTGAAATCTCGGTTTGGTCCGATCGTTAATTTTCGGTCTTTTAATCGGTCCGAGGACCGATATGTGAGATCGCCTGTCATTATTATTATATAACAGCTTTGTTTGTGACGACTTTGTTCCGACAATTCTAGCGGTATGATATGTTGGACTGGAAATCATAGATATTATTCTAGAACGTCCATATTTTCATACCATCGAAAGTTCTGAACGATATTTCCATGTGCATGACGTATTAGGCTGCGAAATGCTATTCCTTAATTATTGACCAGTAATTTGAATTGAAAGTTTTTCTTGGTCGAGTGTTTCAGATTGAGAGATACTTTGTAGAAAATATATTACTTTAATATTAACTTTGTAGGAGAAACAAACCCGAAGTTCGGCCCCTTTTACCCAATTAAATCTACTCATACAGGATGAGAATGTGAATTGCTCAACGTTTACACCATATTCGTAAAGATTCCCGATTTTCATCAATCCCTGTTACTATAGGGTCTCGGGCTTGATATCGGTTGTTAACTTGCGGGTAGTTTTTCGATTATTACTCTTTACAAATTGATATCCCCTTTCCTTTTTACTTCGCAGGTTGACACATACGATATTTAGCTCTAAGATATATTAAACTTGTTCTCCAATTTTCAGCCTTACAGCACAAAAAGGTACCGATCTATATGTGAACGCGCATTTATATTTATTTATTTACCACTATCAGTAAAAGCGGGGTCGGAACAAATGAATTTGGAAAAGTATGGTAAATTGCTAATTATATTGCTGCTGATAGTTGAAAACGTTCACCAAATTTGGCAACTATTCATCAATCCGAAAAAAATCTGATATCTCATAAAATGTGGCGTGATTTCATAAAAGTAGCACTGACCTAAAATGGCTTTATAAAAAAGGTATTTCTTACCTTTTTTATAACGATTATTATCTCAAGGAGAATCTCATAATAACAACGTGTCATATGATAATATGGCTAACCCCCTCGCAAGTCCCGATAAGGTCACATAATAAGTCATGTCGGAACAGTTTTTATTTACTCGAAACAAGAACAATATTATTTAGATTATTTTTTGGGACAATTTGTTATATTTACTAGGGACATTGGAAATGAGCCGTCATTGCTGAATTACAAAAAAATGGACATTGACATTTTCACTAAATATTTTCTGTGCGGATTAAAGGGAGGAAGATTTTCGGAGTTTAATTCCATGGTATTGTATAGAACAAACGCGCGCAAGGGGTAAATCTGGCGTAACACGAAAGATACGTATGAGCACTGATCTCATTGTCAGATCATGTGTTTCTGGCTACAAAAGTCCATAATAAGTTACCAGGACAATAATAGTTTATTTCGGCATTTGAAATCACGCGAATTGTTTTAACCGAAACTTTATTAATTACACAATGCTGCCATTAATGTGCCATCAAAGACACTTCTTTATCAAAAATAATTTATGATCTGGCGCAGCATACAATTGTTAGCCTATTTATGGACGTTTATACAATCTTGCTGTGTAAAGTTGGTTCCCAAACTTATCAATAAGTGATATTAGTCCTGTTGGCAATCAGTACATTTCGTCGACAGTACAATCCACTGACAGTCGTTTTACTGACAGCACATGTAAATTTAAAGCTTTAATGCTGTAGTTTTTGCTTTAATAACTGTTATTATAATAGAAATTGTAAAGATAACGAAGTTAGTATTATGATACAGTAATATCGTTTCTAGTCACTAAACAGAAGTATACGATCGTGTTCTTTCTCATGTGACCAATACTCTAAATTACGCAGATATGCGCAAATACAGTCATATCTAATTAATATCCTTACCTAACTTTATAATCCCGTCTTATTTTACAATTCTTATTATAATGACAGTCATTAAGCTTTAAATTTACTCTATCGGCGAAATGACTGTCGATGAAATGAACCGGACCCGTTCCCATTTTGTCCCTCTCTGATTGGTGGGCGCCAAAATCATGTAATTACAGTAGGATGCAAAAGTACCCCCCCCTCTAATTCCGGACACGAATGAGTAAATGCTTTGAAAATTTCCCTGTATATAGTGTATAATAAACCCTGATCACTTGTAAAATTTCAGCTTGATCGGATGTCTCCAGCAAAATTTCTAACCATCAAAGCTTTTACCATGACATATTTCGGGGGTTCAATCATAAGAGTTCAAAAATTCATATCTCAACACTTCTCTAACCAAATGTTGTGATTTTTTTTTTATTTTGTTCCTCTGCACCATCAAATTGCATTCACGTAATTTTAGAACAAATTACTGTGTGATTACTACTACAAAATACAAACAATTGTGCGGCATAATGATACTTATAAAGATCGTTCACGTGTCTTACCAAGTATAATAGCGATTTCGACCACCACATCTAAAGAAATACGTAGGAATTGGTTTGATAAATAAAACAAAAAAAAAGATCCCTTAGAAACATATGGAGATATGGATTTTTGAAGCATATATTGAAATAAGCGACGTAGGGTTTTTATATGTTTTTCATATGTTTTTCATGGGTCCGTATTATTTCACCGACAGTACATTTCACCGACAGTACATTTCACCGACAATTAACTACTAAAAAAGGATAAATTCGAAATAATGTTGGTAAATATTTGTCGGTGAAATGATCGGTGAAATGATTGTCGATGAAATGATTGCCTCCCGTTTTTCATATGTTTTAGAGGCAAATATTGGATGTTTGTAAATTTTTACTGGAGACACCGATCAAGCTGAAATTTTACAAGTAATCAGGGTTTATTATACGCTATATACAGGGAAACTTTCAAAGCTTTACTCATTCGTGTCCCGAATTAGAAGTGGGGGATACTTTTGCATCCTACTGTATATTAAAAAAATTTGCAAATGATGTCAAGTATGTTTGTTCATGCAGGGAGAGAAGATGATTTTGAAGTCTTCTTCCTTTTCTATCTCATCATCTTCTTCTGAAAACTCGTATCGCACTGTTTTTTGCAATACTGTCAAGAAATGCGGCATACAGCAAGTCTTCTTTGCAAGTCATTTTATTAACAAAATGTAAGGTTTATGAACATAGGAGTGTTTTTCGCTTGAAAATAAATGCTATTTTAAGGATTGCAGTCGATGCAGAACAAAAACACGTCCTCGAACAGGGCTATTGATGTTGTTTTTCAATTTTCCCAATGTGAAGTGATTTCCGTTCTAAAATCATTTAACATACCAGCATAACTGTTGCTAGTACTAGGAGTGTAAATCATCAAAGTTAAAAAGAGCCTCGTATGCATAATTTGTCCACAAATCATGTTTCTTTTCAGTGCAATATTACACATACTTTATTGTAATCTTGGTGAGTGAAGTATTCAATAATTTAAAGGATCGGTATTCGGTGAAACAATCGCATTAACCACATAGACTGAGTATTTAATATTAATACGTTCACAAGTTTAATTAAGCTTCAATCGCGAAAGAGCAATCGATCGCTGACCTTGAGATTTAACTTTTTTTAAACGGACTACTTCTAGTCAAATACGATGACAGTTAATGACCTCTTTACTACGAGCGCTCTATAGACACTAATCCTAGACAGTTATTCGCCTTCGAGTTAATCGACTATTCCCTTCCGATGGGATTAATTCGGAAGCCTATAGGTTGATATCTATCTAAATGCGAATTACGATTGTAATTCCATAGGACAAAAGGCGGATTTCCTAATTGATATAACATTAATAATAGCACAATCAGTAAATAATCCACTAATTAGGAAAAATTGACATCTCAAACAGTTATGTAAGAAGCGTCGACTCTCCGTTAAAATCGATGTGTTTACTTTCGATTCCTTCATTATTATTCTTTATACTCTAAAGTACATTATTAACGATTCGTTCTTTAGTTATCAGTATAGTCGTGAATTACTAATCCCCGATCTAAAAATCCTCGCAACACTATTGGACGTCATCATTTAATATTAGTCCTCACAAACTGT